CCGGTGGAGAAGCGGCCACGGAACTTGAGGCGTCCAATCTCTTCAATCTCGATGTCGGGGATGTCCTTGTAATTGTCTTCGGTGATGTAGTTCTGAGAGAGGCGGAGACCTCTGTCGCACTTCCAAATCGGGATGTCAAAGTCCTGCTCTTCCTGGTCGGGCAGCGATTGCAGCCACAAAGATGCATAGGCATCGGCATGACGCTTTCCGGGAGGGTAAAACTCGAAGAAGACAGGAGACCTGTATCGATAACGGACGGGAAGACGGATCTTTTCGTGGTTGTTCTCACCGCTGATGTCCCAAGAGTATCCTTCCGTCTCCTCCAGCTTTTGGCAAGTATCACGCTTCACGCTCACGGAGCTTCCGCCAGTGCGAATGCGAATCTTTGTCTTCAAGTGTCCGTAGTTCGTAGCGTTCATACTGTTGGAAGTAAACTCGAAAGTTCCGACTTCCCAACCCAGCTGAGGGGGCGGCAGGCGCAGTTCGACGGATCTGAAGAGCAAAGAGATTCTGATCCTTCCGTATCCGATACCTCCGTCTAGAGGGTACCATCGGGTGGCCTCACTTCCCGTCTGCATAATGTCGGAGAGCTTCAGAGGCACAACACCAATAATGGGATCGTGTTGTCTGTTGCGGGAATCGCGAACGGTGATGGTGGTGATGCACGATCGCCAATCGCGGATGAACTTCTCGGTACCGGCGTTGAAGATGGGCTGAGATGAGACAGCCTTTGTACGCGTCTTGTAAACAAGCTCGTCGTTGACAAGAATAGTGCAGTAGGAACTGGGCAACTTGCTACCTTCCTCTTCCTTGACATCGCCAGCATCGAGACGGGCCGGCTCATACTCACGTCCTTTGCGCTTTCCGTTGGAGCCCTTGACGTTCGCCAGTTCGAGTCCGACGATTTGGTGCACGACAATGCTAAGAATACCAGAGGGCCAAAGTGGGTCGGGAGGAGTGTGAACAACCGCATCTTCCTCGGCGTTCTCGATGGTGCCCTTCTCGTCCTGAAGCTCCTTCTTGTCCTTCAACTCAGGAGGAAGGTTGACGTCCTTACCGTCAGTGCGAAGAGCCTTGCGGAATTGAGTCTTTCCAAAGAAGCCAACCTCCCAGTGGAGTTCGCCAGGCATAGTACTGTCGGCCTTAACGCCGGCCAACTTGGAAACCTGAGGGAACATCTTTCCAGGGTGCTGAATGAGCTTTTGGATGCTGAGTTCGACCTTGCCGACAACGTCATCTGCAGAAGAGCGATCGCTGTCCCACAGCTCGACTGACAGCTGTTCGTCAGCCTTGATCAGGTCCGCGGTAACCAACAGCCCGCAGCTCTCCTCAAAGACGGGGTTCAAGTCATCCTGAATGACGCGAGTGCAGAACTGAGGCTTCGAGAACTTGCTCCACGCAACGGTGATATACGGGTCCGAGCCACCACCCTGGCTGCCGCGGCGGTCCTGCTTGCTCAGACCGACGGCCTTGTGAATGCGAATGTAGAGCAGACCAAGAGCAAGGGTCTCCTTCTTGATGTCGTCGCCCTGGAGCATCTTGCTCAAGTCCAGGGTCATGCTCTTGGGAGCAACATACTAAATCCTGGTTAGCTAGGGTGAAAGCGTATGTGAGAGTACTACTTACCATGGAAGCAGCGGTGCCAATGGCCCAGTTGACGAAGTTGGAAATCAAGGGCAGGTTCAGGATGTTGACTCCCTTTTCAATCATGGGAGTGCAGCCGGCCTGGACCTTGGGAATACCCATGAGCGTAAAAGTCAAAGTCTTCAGGAACGGTGGCTCAGGCGTAAGTTGGAGACGAATGCGTGCTGTAGCAACAAGACCTTGAAGTTCGACCCCTAGAGAATGTTAGACGACATTATGGTCGGACAAGTGGCCTTACTCACAGATCGGCAAGGGGACTCCAAAGAGGCCGCGAACACCAAGGTAAAAGACCAGTTGCATTCCCATATTGCGCGCCTTGGAGGAGATATCAGCTCCAGAGGGCTTAGCATGGTAAGCGACTGATGCCTCAAGGTTGTAGAAAGACCCAGCCTGCTCCATAGCGGCCAGCTCATTGGGGTCAGTGTTCTTCTGATTCTGCTTGTGGGCTTCATCTTTGATATCTTTGACGTGGGAGTCTGGCAAAGCTCGCAAGCTGAGGATGCGTAGCGGGTTGCTGCCCTGCGAAATATCGGCGACGCGGACGTTCTCAATAACGCCAGGGACAGAGGCAACCATGACGTCCTCCAGAGTGTCAGCGACACCGGCGAACATCTCGGGGTTGATCAAGTTCCACATGATGCCCAGAGCGGTGTTCATCCACTGTGATTCGTTAGCGCGCCATCACCATCATTTGCACTCGATCTTCTTACCTCGACAGATTCAGGGACGAGGTTGATGGTGGCCGTCTCACCACGCTCCTGCTCGCTGGACCATTCCGTGTTTCTGCCCTGGGTGATGAGATCCTTCACCCAGAGAAAGACTCCTGACGCGACGCAGGCACCAAGGGGGATGAGTCCATAGAGAGCGCCGCCAAAGAACTTGCCGACAATGACGATGCCGAAGAAAATGCCGGCACAAAGGACGTTTGCCTTGCGTTCTAAAGCCTCGAACATCGGCTCGTAGCTGACGCTTGGCGTCTTGAAGAAGTTGACATTGGTCTTTTCACTGTGGATAGGTACGTCGGACGTGCTTCCGGGCTCGACGGGATCGGGTGGTGCGGTGACATCTTGAGCTTGGCGGTACTCCTCACCAGACTGCTTCGACGAAGTGGCAACGGTTGCCGACTTTCCGAGATTCTCGTTTGGCACAGAAATCTGAGGGCAGGCTTGTCAGTGAACCTCAATCAAACGACATATGAGGGCTGTAAGTAGCATACCTGGGGGTTCTCGACCACCTCCTTGAAGTCGTCGTTTGCGTTTTCAATCTCGACATCCTTGCCAGTCACGGGGTCCCGCACAGTCTTGGTCTTCCTCTTGCGAAAACGGTGGTCCTTCTCGGGGACATGGGGTTTCGCGTCCCCATTGTGGCCGTTCTGATGGTGCTGGCGCTGTTCTTGCTTGATCTTCTTGTCCTCGGCGTCAAGGGCAGCATCTCGCTCGCGCTTCTCCTTGTCGAGCTGTGCCATAAACTCGTGGACATTGGGAATTCGGTTTCGGCCGCTGTAGTGCTGGCCGCCGGTCGGCAGTTGGTGCTCGTCGACATTCATCTTGCTGCCATGCACAAGCCTGTGCGTGCGACCTGTACCTGCGCGCCTGTTTGGATGAAAATAAGAGTGGGTATATGAGATCAGTCGTAGCTCACACTACTTGACTGTCGCAGGCAGGCTCGATTTGCCGAGTCAATTGGGCTTCAGACTGCACTTGCACTGCACCGAAAATATTGGCAGGCGGACAATCGGCAGAGGAAATGGAGAATAGCTAAGAAGGACAAGAATGAGAGCGCGGAGGCTGGATCTTGGAAATATAATTCCAAGAAGGACCTACACTAGCGAAAGAAGGAACGGAGCAACCCCTCCAATTGCCTCATAGCTCCTCTTCAGCTTGCGCCAGCTGTGACAGCTTGTTTGGGCTGCCTTAGTCTGCCCATCCATCCCCCTTTCCCCAATCTGCCTTCAGCTGCAGCTTGCACACACTCACTGGACTGGCTTGTTTGGTCGGGCTGGCCTGGCATGGCTGGAAGCTGTGATGGTCAATGACGTAGCTTGTCTTGCGACTTGCTGCCACAAAGCCCACTAACAGCATGTGCGGCCCCACCCCCGGCCAGCCCCCGGCACCTTGCAGCACCTATGACGGAGCAAGTCTCCGGTACATCGCGTGGCTCATGCGTTTTCCTGCTGGCTGCCACTGCATTTTGGCTGTCCGTCGCCCATTATTTGAAGACCGAGCCAAACATTCCTGCACCAAGTCTTCAGCACCAGAGGCGCGTTACGACGAAGCGACCGTGGCTGGAAAGGGCGACGCTAACTGGCCCTATCATTTCTTGTGCGTGGCTTCAGGCGGGAATTCAGCATTCCCGTCACGTTTTCCTGTTTTTTTACGGCCTTTTCGATGGCTTGTGCAACAGCGATGCGACGACCTGTGGCCGATCTGCAGTAGGGATCGCTGTTTGCTTGCGTAAATGGCTGGGGGGGAGCCGCTGTTTTGGCTGCATGTTCATTGGCCTTCGTGGCCTCGAGCTGGCTAGGCCGTCTGGCTCCCAACTCACGTCGTGCCTTGGCTCCATGTTTAGGTAGTTCAGCTGCGGACTTTGACAGCTGGAGGGGCGGGCGGTTGTGGTGGGATGGTTTGCTCCGTTGTTAGTTTGTGGCCTGCGTCGTCTCGTTCCTGTGCTGTTTTTGGAGGCACAGCAGTAGGATGAGGAGCTGTTCGACTAAGCTGACACGGGTACCAGACATAGCCAGATGGTTGTTTTCACTGCACGTTGTCGAGAAAACCGCATCGTCGACCTGGTCAGCCGCCATCCGCCCTATCGAAAACTCTCCGTGCGGCTCATCGGTGTTGACATGGGTTGCCGCAGTCCCGATGAACGATTGCGTTTGCAGGGGATGGCGAAAATATCACCACCCCTTACGCAAGCCAAGGTTGTCCTCGTCAGTCCACTTCTCCATTCTGCCCCGCTTACGACGATACCTTACCTCATCGCCTCGTAACGGATCAACCATCAACCGAATTGCACGGGAAACTGTGATCGAATTCACAAGTTGGCCAGACCGCTGTAGCCCATCCTTGTCCCCCAAGGCCGGCTAGCTAGCTCCTTAGCAAAGACGGTCAAACATCCAAACGCACGCTAAGCATTCCTCTTCCCCAGACTAACACCAAGACACGATGAGTCCACTTGTCATCGATAATGGGATTCCGAGAACTTGGTCGTATCGCGTGTGCTCATTAGATCCTAAACGATGCTAACTAGTACATGTGTATCTTACAACGCCGAGCCACCGTTTTCCCCCCTTTCCCCAACACCATGCAAAACCATATGCTTCCCCGGAAAATTAAATCCAAACGCTGTGTCTCTCTTCAAGCAACCACCAAATCAGGCGGAATGGGCGTGTCCCTCCTACTCCCAGTTTCCGGGTTGAAGAGCCCCGCCGACCCAAGCCTGTCAATGCGCGACGAGGACGGCCTCAGGATCGTCGGCGTCGAGAGGTCCACGTCCATGTCCCCGGGCGTGAGCCCCCGATCGCACGAGACGCTACTCGTGTCTGACATTTCAACGTCTCCAGCCTCGTCGAACGTCTCGACGCTAGGCGTCGGGAGATCGCCGCAGGTTTGCACCTCCACGACGGGAGGCGCAGGTTGCTGCTTTCCGTCGTCTCCTGCTTTGTTTGCTGCCGCCTCAGCCGCGCGCAACGCAGCCACAGCACCGCCGAGGTTGTCCGGGTCCTCTTCCTGGTTGCCAATCGTCCAGACCCAGCGGCGCTTCTTCTCCTTTCTCTTCTTCTTCCTGATGCCGCCTGAGGGGCTGGCTCCCGCCGGGCTGGATACCACCGGTGAGTTGGCTGCGAGGCCAGCCATTCGTCTGCGCATCTCTTCAAACGGTCCGGGCGTCATTCCGCCATCGAGTGTTTCGTTGCCTGTGAAGGCGAGTGCGAGGTCTAGAATAGTGTTCTGGTCCTGTTGTGCCCTGGGAGATGCGGGAGACGAGTCTTCGATGAGCAGGTCGATGTGAGATTTCGTATACGTGTTGGTTGTGATGGTTTGCTCGATTGGGCTGTTGTAAGCTACCCGGCGTGCCGCCTTCTCCTGCAAGCGCAGGGACTGTCGACGGGGTGATGTGGGCGTCTTGGCTGTCGGGGGAGGAAGCGGCGAGTTGCGGAGGATGCTGTGAAGGGATCGAGGATGGCTGTAAGGTGGCTTGGTGCCAGCCAGTGTAAGGTTGGTTCGTTTACGCAGAGATCGGGGTGTCGGTTGGTCGTTCATCAAAGCCGTCAGAGGAGTCTGGGCGTCGATTGGTGAAAACCCGAACATTTGAGGACCTTCTACGGGGCCTGCTGACAGCGGCGGTGTCGCAGTCATGGTGCTTGGAAAGGTGATTTCCATAGCAGCGGCGGGTGAGAGAGGGTGAGCTGTCAGCGGCGTCTCGGGATAGCAGACTGTATACGGGGTCTGTATCCGTAGCTGGGGAGTCACGAGATCCTTGGCTTCGTTGATGGCAGTCAAGGGGTCGGCGATGGCGGGAGTCGACCTCTCAATGGCGGTGGTGTAGACATTGGAGAGGGTGTTGAAAGTCGTTGGGGACTTGGGGTCAACGAGAGCCAAGGATTTGTTGATTCTCGTATGAGGAGCCGGCGATGTCTTGATGGACAAGGACAGCTTCGGCCTCCTTGAGGCAGTTCCAGTCTGGGTAGCCATCATGACCACGTGATGCAGGTGACCAGAAGAGCGGAGATGAAGTTAGTGGGAGATGCAGTTCTGCGGCTCATTCCTAACAGCCAGCAGAGGGGTTGCTTCAACCGGGATCAGGCAAAGAAAGTTCTTAGCCTCCCAAAGGGGTGGAATCACCGGCGATGAGACGAGCAACTCGGATCGAAGAGGGAGGGAAACGTTGGTTGAGAGTTTGGCAAAAGAAGGGGACAGCGGCTATATAGATTGGGCCGTGTTGCAACGCTGTGGATGGTGTGACAGTGTGTGGTTGTAGTGAGGGGTTAAAGTCTCAAAGGTTGATCAAGATGGCGGGCGTCTCGAGTCGATAGTGGAAGATGGAGAAGCGCCACTAAGCAAACATATATGCAATGCAGTGTGACTATGTAGAGGACAATAACCGCGATGGCACGAAGGATTGTGTCGCACGCAGCTCGACAACCCTCGGCTCAGGCGTCTCCAGTTCTGGTTGGCTATTTTGGGCAGCCGGATGTGATGGGGAAGAGGCGCAAGCGCCGGGCTCAGAGGGGACCCCTGTCGAGTCGACTCGCATCCCTGCACATTGGCCAATCAAGGCGAGGCGCTGGTCGGCTGTTTGTGCCCGAAGCGGCGTCTATTTGTTCAACGACCGGGGTGATTTTTCAGTAAGGATTGCTCGCCATTTCCGGGGGCAAAAAAGACGGTGAGAATGCAGTGGCAGCGAAAGAGTCATGTGATGGTCTTGGGGAGCGACAGCTGAGCGAGCGAGCAGTCACGTCCAGTCGCTGGTTGAAGCACACAGTATCGGCGCGAGGTGCGGTGCCGAAGGGGCGAAAGAGGCGGCTATTCAGACGCCGTTGTCCAGTCCTGAAGCCGGGTGGGCGCCATCCCACAAGCCACGGCCGAGTGTTCCTTTGACGGCGGTCGAAACAGAGTGCGTATGCGTCCGGATCCTACATCCAACTCCGGCTCGTCGTCTGGCTGCCGGAGACTTTCAAATTAAACGAAAGAAACGTTGTTGAAGGCTAAACATTCCGCACTAAGATGGGATGACGGCGGCACTGCGTAAGCTGTGTTTGAGTAGGATGGGGAAAAGAACGGGCTGAGTGTCGGAAGGAAGCGAACTTTCGTCTCATCTCTCCATCTTTTTCGGTCCACTTTCGTCTGTGCGAGACAGCCTGAGAGGGCAGGACACTAAGTGTACGGGAAGCGAAGGCGAGGAGACGAGAGACGAGAGACGCGACAGCCGAGGCCAGGTAATTTGCAGCGTCTGCTGTGCCACTGTTGTGGCGGATCTGCTGGCTGGGGAACGATCCCAAAAGCGACGATCAAAAAGAGGCTCTGAGGAGGCTCTTTTGCTGCCAAGCCACCTGAATACGATTTTGAATCGGCTCTGAGCCTCTGACCCCGGTGCAGGGCAGAGACTCCCCAGTAGAGTTGGCCCGTGTTCTCCCTCGTCCCAAGTATACCAAAATTAGGTAATCATGCAAAGTTTCATAAAGTTGACCCCCACTTCCCAATCTGATGCGGGGGCACCTGCCACAAACCGGGGCCGGCAGGTGCTCCCACGCCGGCTGTCAGCCCCAACACTTACTCGATGCGAGAGAGCCCCATCCGTTCTCTCCAAATCCGACTTCACACCCCGCCGGCGACCCTCCATCACTTCTCCAAAGCCGCCGGCCTGCCCGAAGCACGCTCGTCTGCCGACCATCTCCAAGGAAGCCAAGAACTTCACCCATCCCGGGCACGCCCACGACCGTTAAACATCTTTCAGGGGCCGCATTGACGACTCGGCCGATTCCGATTTCCCTACGTCACTCTTCTCTCCAGATTGGCATTGAGATAACCCTTTTTTCTTCTTACCCCACGATCATTGGATCGGCCACGCGACACTTCAGCCAGCCCTACAGAACTCAATGGATAACGGTTTTGAAGGCCGCCGGCGACTTACACGACTGCCCGAAGGCTTTGCCGAAGAGTACCTCTGGGCAGGACGACGGCCGCACTGATGAGTCTGTCTGCTTGATGGGAGCAGATTGATCATAAAGGGGCCTGAATTCCAGAGTGCAACCAAAAGGAGAACTACTGTTCGCTTGTCATTCCAACTTGCATCATCTGAAGCATTTTTTGAGATTTTTTTTATTTATTTTTTTGCGCTTTTTTGGCATTTCGACACATATTGCAGCCATATAATCCGTAATGGGTGCGTAGCTATACCGCCCTGACGTTGCACACGTGCATCTGGGCATCCCGATCGCTTGGGACGAACTGACTAACAATAACTCACCCTCATCCAATAGGCTCCACAATCCAAGACACCTTCCCCCTTACCATCCCAGAATGGCGATCGGCTCAAGAATCTGGGGACGGTCTTTTCCGACTCCTAGCTTTGCGTGAATCTGAAGCTCGATTCAACTCTAATGCTTGGATTGCCTTGGCCACAACTACCCAGATCGAGCAGCAATGGTCTTATGCCGAATCCCTGCGCTCGTCCGGTGTCACCCTACCACTTTTCGGCGTCCCCTTTGCTGCAAAAGATAATATCGACGTTGCCAGCTTTCCTACGACCGCTGGCTGCCCCAGCTTCGCTAACGGTCCTGTTGGCAAGGATGCCACTATCATCGCTCGTCTAAAGGCGGCCGGCGCTATCGTACTCGGCAAGACCAATCTCGATCAGTTCGCGACAGGTCTTGTGGGCACGAGATCTCCTTATGGCCCCGTGGGAAACTCCTTTGATCCCTTGCGGGTCAGTGGTGGTTCCAGCTCCGGAAGCGCCGTCGTTGTTGCCAGGGGCGTTGTCCCCTTTTCTTTGGGAACGGATACCGCAGGCAGTGGTCGCGTGCCTGCAGGCCTGAATAACATCGTCGGTTTGAAGCCTACGAGAGGCGCTCTGAGCACGACGAGAGTGGTCCCTGCGTGCCGCAGTCTTGATTGCGTATCCATTTTTGCTCTCACATCCGACGATGCAGAGACCGTGCTGTCGGCTGCAGAGAGATTCGACCCCGAGGATTCCTTCTCGAGGACCAGACCGGGTACTCTTGCCGCCTCAACGGGACGGCGCATGGCCATCTGCGACAATCCACCATGGTTTGGCAAGACAGAGCAAGCCGCTGCCTATGACAAGGCTCTAACCAAGGTGGGCACGCTTGGGTGGACTCTCGAGCCTAGGGACTTCTCAGCGTTGTTTCAGCTCGCGAGTCTCCTGTACGAGGGCCCTTGGGTTGCTGAGCGCTATGCTGCGATCAAGGACTTCATCAAGACGCACGAGGATGACATGGACCCTATCGTTAGGGAAATCATCTTCAAGGCCAAGGACTTCAACGCCGTAGACCTCTTCGAGTCGGAGTATCTTCGTCAGGATCTGACTCGCAAGATTCATGATGCGTTTGATGAGTTCGACGCGATTCTGGTGCCGACTGCGCCTACCTTCCCAACTCTTGAGGACCTTGTCCGAGAGCCGATCAAGGAGAACGCCTACCTTGGCACTTATACAAACTTCGTCAATTTCATGGACTGGACCGCCCTCTCTATCCCTGCGGGCTTCCGATCGGATGGTCTACCATTCGGCATCACGCTGATTTCTTCCACGTGGGAGGAGCCCAAGTTACTCGCCTTCGCCCGCGAGTGGCTTTCCACGGCACCTCGCCTTCTCGGTGCAACCAAGATTGAAAGGCTCGAGAAGCTCAAATCCGACGCAGTCGCCGCGAGTGAGCTAAAGACAACTCGTCTTGTGGTGGTAGGTGCTCACTTGGAGGGTTTTCCTTTAAACAACGACCTGACGTCTCGAGGAGCGACACTAGAGACGGCGACAACGACCTCACCCAACTACAAATTTTACTCTCTCAACACCGACGGAAAAGTGAAAAAACCAGGTCTTAAACGTGTTCCCGTCGACGGAAGTGCCATCCAAGTCGAGGTCTGGAATTTGCCGACCGCGGAAATGGCCAGTTTCATGAAGACTGTGTCTTCGCCCCTCGGCATCGGCTCAGTGGAGCTGTTGGACGGAAGCTGGGCCCCTGGGTTTGTCTGCGAACCCTATGGACTGGATGGTGCCACCGACATCACCTCATTCGGAGGTTGGCGTTCCTTCATCCAGTCGCTCGACCGCCCCAAGTTCAACGTAACCAATCCTGTTCCATTCACTCAACAAATCAGCGGAATAAAGTCTGTTCTTATTGCCAACCGTGGCGAAATTGCCATCCGAATTGTTCGTACGCTGCACCGCCTGGGCCTGAAGGCTATCGCAATCTACTCCTCTTTTGATGCTCGTTCCCCACACGTCCGCGATGCAGACGTCTCGTTTCTCCTCGAAGGCTCTTCTGTCTCGGAGACTTACCTGAATGGCCCGCAAATCATCCGTCTTGCAAGGACTGCTGGCGCAGATGCAATCATTCCTGGGTATGGATTTCTGGCAGAGAACGCGGACTTCGCCTCCGCCGTCGAGGCTGAAGGTATGATCTGGGTCGGCCCTGCGGCTGACCAGATGCGACAGCTGGGTTTGAAGCACCTCGCTCGCGATGTCGCGATTGCTGCTGGAGTTCCTGTCGTACCGGGTAGTAAACACCTCCTTACGAGTGCCGAAGACGCTTTCGCTGAAGCCATGCGCATCCGTTACCCTGTGATGCTCAAGAGTACTGCTGGTGGCGGAGGGATCGGTCTGAAGCGCTGCAATAAGCCTTCGTCACTTTTAGAAGCGTTCAAGAGTGTTCAGAGATTGGCCAAGGCCAACTTTGGTGATGCAGGTGTTTTTATCGAGCACTTCATCAAGAATGCGCGTCACATCGAAGTGCAAATTGTTGGCGATGGTAAGGGCAATGTTGTTGCGGCCGGGGAGCGCGATTGCTCACTGCAACGACGAAACCAAAAGGTCATCGAAGAGAGCCCGGCTATCTTTGTACCGGTTGATGTGAGAGCGAGAATGCGCAAGGCAGCCGTTAACCTCGCCTCGGCTGTGAAGTACCGCAATGTGGGAACGATCGAGTTTATCTTCGATGTTGATAGCACGGAGTTTTACTTCCTCGAGGTCAACACTCGGCTCCAGGTTGAGCACCCAGTCACGGAGTCTGTGACGGGGCTTGACTTGGTAGAGTGTATGATTCGTGTAGCATCCGGGGACGTCGGGAGCATCTTTGAGAACAGACACGAGGGCTTTGAGGTGAAGGGTCATTCCATCGAGGCGCGTGTCTACGCTGAGAGCCCCCTCCAGAATTTCAGGCCCTGCCCAGGCCGGTTGCTGGATGTATCCTTCCCCGATGAGGTGCGGGTTGACACTTGGGTTGACGCTGGCACAGAGATGTCATCATCCTATGACCCTCTCATTGCCAAGATAATCGCAACCGGCGAGAGCCGAGCGGAGGCCATCACGCAACTGGCCACCGCCCTGGACAATACCGTGATCACGGGAGTGGAGACCAACTTGGAGTATCTTCGCGATATCGTCGACTCCGAGTTACTCAACTCTGGCGACTTCACGACGACGTCACTAAACAACTTCGACTACGACCCGCTCGTGGTTGAAGTCATCGATCCCGGCACCTTGACCACTGTTCAAGACTACCCCGGTCGCAATGGGCTGTGGCACGTTGGGATTCCGCCATCCGGCCCCTTTGATGACTATTCTTTCAGGCTCGCCAACAAGCTAGTAGGGAATCATCCTCGGGCCGCTAGTCTGGAGTGTACCTTTCAGGGGCCCAGTCTCCTATTCCACTCCGGTGGCGTGATTGCAGTAACCGGTGCGCCTGTGGAGATCCTCGTGGACAACGAGCCTTACTACCAGGAACAGGCTCTCGATATTCGTGCGGGGCAGACGCTCTCCATTGGTGCACCGAAAGCTGGCTACCACACTTACATTGCTTTCCGAGGTGGACTGCCCGTCCCAGAGATATTTGGCTCTCGCTCTACGTTCGCGTTGGGACGAATAGGGGGTCACAATGGTCGAGCTCTTCGTGCGGGGGACCTGCTGCCCACAGGAGGAGGTATGGTGTCAGAAAAGGTCTCAGACTTTGTCAGTCCCGAACTTCCTCTGCCAACGGGGCCGAACGGGATTTGGACGCTTGGGGTTATCCCAGGGCAGCACTCAGCACCTGAGCACTTTACCGAAGAGGGCCTCAACACACTTTTCAACGGAGAGTGGATTGTTCACTACAATAGCAACCGGGTCGGTATTCGTCTTGACGGACCCAAGCCGCGATGGGCTCGGCAGACCGGGGGTGACGCCGGACTACACCCATCCAATATCCACGACAGTCCCTACTCTGTCGGCAGCATCAGCTTCACCGGGGACGAGGCCGTTATTCTCACTTGCGACGGCCCAAGTCTAGGCGGCTTCGTGGTCTTTTGTGTCGTTGCTTCGGCTGAGATGTGGAAGTTAGGACAGCTGCGCCCAGGCGATAAGGTTAAGCTCAGGCCCATCAGTGTTGACGATGCGTTGGCACTGGAAGCCGCTCTTGAGGATTCCATCGCCAATCTCAAGCCGTTAGAGTCTACTTTGCCTTCCAAGAACGACATCCCCATTCCAGCTGAGCTGAACCCTCTCCTCGGCAATATAGGCACCGCCGGCCGCCATATCTCTGTTCGCCAAGCAGGTGACTCGTCAGTTCTCCTAGAATTTGGGATAGAGGACGTCTTTTCCCTCCGTCAGTCCTTCCAAATCTTTTCCTTCATCGACCGCCACGAGCAGGCCCCAATCCCGAACGTTCTCGACCTCTCCCCTGGTGTTCGTACTCTCCACATCCAGTACACACCAGGCACGACCCCCTCGGAAATCCTTTCCGCCCTCCGATCTCACGAAACCTCCTTGGGCACCGCAGTCCCCTCTTCCCTCCCGTCGCGCACAATAAGCCTCCCGCTCGCCTTCGACGACTCCGTCTCTAGCGCCGCAGTAGCCCGCTACGCTGCCACGATCCGCGCAACCGCCCCATGGCTACCCAGTAACATCGACTTCCTCCAGAAACTCAACGCTCTGGGGTCCCGCGAGGATGTCGAGCGCATCTTTTTGGACGCAACGTTTCTCGTTCTCGGCCTTGGTGACGTCTTCCTCGGAGCCCCTTGCGCTGTGCCGCTGGACCCACGCCACCGCCTCTTCGGCACAAAATACAATCCCTCCCGCTCATTCACACCCCGCGGCGCCGTCGGCATTGGCGGGCAGTACATGTGCATCTACGGCATGGACTCCCCCGGCGGCTACCAGCTCGTCGGCCGCACGGTGCCCATCTGGGACGACGTAGCCGCCTCGGCCGCCTCACAAGACACCCAGCCCTGGCTCTTCCGCCTCTTCGACCGGATCTCTTTCTACACCATCTCTGAATCGGAGCTCGACGCTGCCATAGCACAGGGGAAAATGACAGATTTGATCAAAATTCAAGAGGGGTGTCTCGATCTCCACGCATACGAAGCCTGGCTCGAAGAGAACAAGGACGACATCGAAGCCACCCGCGCCGCGCGCGCCGAAGCCATCCGGACAGTGCCGTTCATGGAGGAACTTCTCCGGCCGTACCACCCCCCTGGGACTGAGCGTCGCCCCGTCGAGGAAGATGATGTTGCCGGGGAGAGGGTAAAGAGCCAGATGCCCGGTCGATGCTGGAAGTGCGAGGTCAGTGTGGGCGACGAGGTGGAAGTCGGGGACGCGCTGGTGTGGATCGAGTCCAACAAGATGGAGATCAAGATTGAGAGTCCGGTGACGGGCACGGTAGCCAAGATGTTGGTCGCCGAGGGGGACATTGTTGGGCCGTATGACGATTTGCTAATTATCGAGACGGAGTAGACCGTTCTTTAGTATGCCTACGATTTCTTTGACATCCCTGAGCGTTTATACCTTAGAAGCCTATTTCATAGAGTTAGACCAAGAATCGAGACCCCAAACCACTATTTTCCAAAGAATGAGACACGCATATCACAGCAACGAACACCCAATAAGAGCAATTTACAGTGTAAACGCCGCCTGTTTCGAAATTTTTGCAAGACCAGCTTCTGTCGAGCTTCTACAGTATACCATTTCGGTATGTAACCCTAACAACAAACGTCCCCCTTTCGTCTCCGTGTTGTACAAACCGCGAGGACTCTATTCAAATGCGCCAAAGTTTCCCCGCGCTTCTCTATACCAACTTTGAAAACCACCACACACCCTCCTCCTCTTGCTTTCTAATAATACATATTTTACATGCACTTGGCCGGGCCGCTGTCGTCTGGATGTCACGTTAGCATTAACATTCTCGACAACAGAAAAAGACGGGAGGGCCAAAACTCACTGCTAATCATCTTGGCGACCGCCTGTATCAAGGTAATGACCATCACCACGGTGCCGAAGACGACGATGCCGCCCGCGACGTACGTCTTCCACGAGCGGGAGCTGAGCTTGATGTAGCACAGCGGCGGCAGGATGTACGCGATGGCGCACGCCGAGGTGGCGCCGACGAGCTCGAAAACGGCGCCGACGTCGCACGTCACCAGGCTCATGATCATGGCGGAGACGACCAGGCTAGAGCTGAAAATGAGGTGCAGGTTCATGTTGAAGGGCTCGCCGGGGAAGAAGTAGTTGAACATGACCTCTCGGCAGACGAAGGCCTCGAGGGGTAGGGTGGTCAGCATGTTGAGGCCGAAGCAGAGGCGCGCGATGGTGACCATGACGTTGTCGGCGGGGAAGTTGTTAAGGACGTTGCCGAGCGTCTTGTCGCCGAAGGTGAGGAAGCCGGCGAGCGCGACGATGAGGCAGGCGACCGTCGAGATGCCGACCGAGTAGTGCGTCACCCGCGAGAAGCGGTCTATGGTGGGGGTCTTGAGAGACCCGTAAATTAGGAGGGAGTTGTGGTGGCAGACAAAGGCTTGGCTTGTTAGTTTGGGGAGCGAAGAGGAGTAAGGGAGGCGGCGTACCGAATGAGATAACACCAATGGCCTCGAAAATGCCACTGTTCACGGTCAGGAGAGCAGGTGTAAATGAGCCTCGGTCCGCCTTGGGGGTCAGAGCTCCCTGGATCACGACCGTCGCTACGATGACGCCCATGCTGATGAGCGCGAGTGTGCTCGCCTTAGCCAGCTACAGAACTCAAGTCAGCGATGTGCCCATTTTCACTTGCGAGTTCCTCGGCGCTTACCTTGGCGATGTCCCGGTACAAAGTCAACGGATAGCTGATGCCCAGCACGAAAACGACAATAACAACCTGCCTATTCGCCAAGAGACCCAACACGGGCATCTCCCTCAGATCCGGCCAAATGGCTGTCAAAACGTGCGGTATTGAGTCGCCCACGATGATGCCGAACGCCACCATCCCGCCAAAAGCAAACGCCCACTGCGCGACCGAGATGGCGATCAAGCCGGTCCGTCCGAAACAGTGCTCCACAGTCCCCTGAAAGCTGTTGCTCCCGGAAAGCTTGCTGTTGACCACAATCAAGCAGATCGTCCAGTCCACGACGATCGTGAGCCCCAATAGCAGTATGATTCCGCCCAGCATGCCCGCCTGCTTGAACGCGTACGGCTGCCCGATGATGCCGGCCCCGATGATGGAGTTCGCCATGTTCATGAAGGCCATCTTCAGCCCGGACTTGGGGCGGTTGAGCTCCGTCTCTGCCCACTCGTGTGCATCCTCGACCCACTGGCTGTTGGCGAGCGCAACGGAGGGCGCCTCGATGTCCGTCAGGAGAGGCAGGCGGTGGTGGTCGTCGTGGTCGTCGTAACCCGGCGCGTGCTGGAAGATCTCGTCGTCGTCGATGTCGAAGCTGTCTCGGCTGGGGCGCGAGCCATTGCTGTTCGTCATCGAGGGCCGGGGCGGCGAGGGCTGGACGATGGAGGGGATGGGGTCGAAGCGGACGCGGTTCGGGGTGCGTGGCGTCCCCGGGGACCGGAGGGCTTGACGGAGTGGCGCGGCGGACTGTTGTTTCGGGGGTACGAAGTAGTCGTCGCGCGGGCCGGCGGAATGGCCGGCCTGGCGATCATGATGGTATTCGTGGGAGAGGGGGTCGTCGGTGAGGAGGCTTCTGTCCTCTTCGCTTGGGCCCGGAGCAGCGCCCGGATGGGAGTCGTCTCGGCGGGCTCCATGGTTACGGGCCTTGGCCATTGTAAGTTATTGCGCTGTCATTTTCCGGCGGGAAGGAAAGGAGGAAAAGAGGATGGACGGGGTTCGAAGGCGGCCTCGTCGTGTGTGTGCGTATGCGCCGTTCGTTCCGTGGTTTCGTGTTTTTCAACGGGGAGTCAAAAGTGGTGTTGAATGTGAGCTGCGAAACGTGGAAAGACAAGTGCAGAGCGAGCTTGGAGTCTGTCGTCTATTGTCGGTTCAGTCGACGTTGCTGCAAGCTGACCTCAACTCTCGGGTGGAGGTACGTACCTCCTGTTACTTTTAGGGGACCGGGAGCTGTCAGCAGTCCGCGTACCCGGCGACAGGGGCGCGGCAGGCCAGGCCCCGCCCGTAGTGGAGAAGCTGGGCGCTGGAGAGTGGGAGTATCGAAAGGTATCACTTCGGCTACTCCTTGCCGGAAAGTTACATCAGTGGACTTGCCTAAACAGGCTAGGTGCCTTCACTCTTCACTTATCCCACACAGCGCTTCGGCGTAATGACGGTGAGCGACTTATCAGAGAAAAAAATTCCCACAAGGCCGTACGTACGGTATTGCGATAACAGCACAGCACAGCACAGCACCACACGCAGCCCAGGCCGAATCAGACGAGTCGCGACCTCTCAATCCCCGAAAGAGCCCCGGTGTTAACGGATTGCATTGGCTCTGTTGATAGTTGAGACACTCCTTCAGAGGTGGGAGAAGCAGCTGCTACAGCAGTCTTTGAAGCTGAGAGTCACTCTATCGTCCGACTCACCAGCCAGCCTGGTCCATCAACCACTTGGCGAGGCTTGACTCTGCGACTTTCCAGAGTGAACCCCAAAAAGCCAGGGCCGTCGATCCCTTGCAGTTCCCAATTGGAGGTCACCTCAGTCTGATTGACCAGCCTCAATGCCGTTGTAGCCCACACCACACCCTCCCAGGCGGTTGGTAGCGTTGGCGCAGAAAGGAGCCTCACCTCGGGCAGATACAGCCCGCAAAGTAGGAGGAAAAGTCGTCATCGGCAGCGGGGAAGAGGAGGGGAGGACCTGTGCTCCCTTTTTATTTCATTCTCATTCATCACTCACTCTCATATGTGTGTCACCACTTTTACGCGAACCACAGACCACACACCCAAGGTCCTACTAATCACAATCGGCCTACCTTATCTCATCCTCACATACACATACACACACAAACTCATCACTCACCTTATCTCATCCCACCCCCGCGCGCCGGCCCCTCGCCCGGTCCCGCCCGCCGAACGATGGACGCAACACCAGCGCCCTACGGCACCACCACACGAACTCCCACCCCCGCCTCCGCCTCCGCCGGCCCAGTCCCAACGACCATGCCGGCGCCCGCGCCGACGCCTCCTTCACATGAATCTCACCCTTCATCATCATCATCGTCGGCGGCGGCGGCAGCAGCGGCGGTAGCAGCAGCAGTGGCGTCGTCGGCAACAGGGGCACAAAGCCGCCCCTGCGACATATGCCGCCAACGCAAGACGCGTTGTGTTCGCGAAGAGGGCCGCGACAAGTGTGTCATGTGTTCATTTCATGGCCAGCCCTGCACATATCTCCGCGGGCCGCTCCCGCGCAAGCGTCGGAAGGCCACAGATCCCCCGGAGGTGCGGCCCCAGACTAATGGGTCCGGCAATGCGGCCGCTGCTGGTCCTCCACCAGCTCCCATGCCGCTGGATCACCAGGAAGAGATAACGTAAGTCTCATTACAATTTCTCACTCTTGTCGTCTTTTCCTATCGTTGTTTTCTGCTTCTGTATGAAGCTAGGTGCCCATGTCGCCAGTCTTGTATGAAGCTAGTCTTGAAGGGGCACGTCATTGTGCCCAGGTCTCGTGTCATGTCCTTCCTCTTTCGACCTTCACCACCTCTCTCATTCGCTCACCCCCCTCGAGTAACCTTCTAACCCGTGTCACAATAGACACCCTTCACCGGAACTGCTCGAGGCCCTCTCTCCGTCACTAGCCGGCTCCGAGAACATTGCCCACTTCAGCCCTCAACCCTCCCTCTTAGACGGCACTCTGGGCCTACACCTCAAAACAAACTCCGAATACGTCGGCAACACATCCTACCGTGAACCCTCCCTCCTAGACCTCCACCGGCCCTCAGACCCTTCCGTCCGCTCCGTCCGCCGGCTCGACGACTCAACAGTCTTCCTCATCCACCGTGACCGCGAGACGTCCTCGGAGCCCCAACGAATAGCCGACCTCGACGCCATCGAGAAGCTCGTCCACCCCCTCGGCTCGACCCTCGTCAACCTCTACTTCCGCATCGTCCACCCCAGCTTCCCCGTCCTCCACAAAAAGGTCTTTCTCGAAAAGTACGCACGCTCCTACCACGAGTTCTCCCCGCCCCTCCTCGCCGCCGTCTACCTCATCGCCCTCGACTGGTCCCTCTACGACCGCACCCTCGCCACCTCCTCATGGCAGCCCGACCAGGCCGCCCTCGAGGCCCTCGCCCTCCGCACAATGAGCGACGACATGAAGCGCCCAAAGATCTCGACCCTCCAGGCCGGCCTCCTCATCCAGCAGCGCTTCCGCAACAACACCTGGACCTTCACCGCCCAGCTCATCGCCCTCGCCCAGGGCCTCGGCCTCCACGTCGACTGCAGCGACTGGGCCATCCCCGAGTGGGAGAAGGGGCTGCGGCGCAGGCTGGCGTGGGCTCTGTTCATGCAGGACAAATGGGGTGCCCTCGTCCACGGTCGCCCCTCTCACATCCGTCTAGACGAGGACTGGGACGTGCGCCCGTGTCGCGTGGAAGACTTTCCCGAGACTGCCGCGGACGAAGAGTACGACCCCGAGGGCAGCGCCGAGGTCGTCGTCGGACGGGAGCTCTTCCTCCGTCAGATCGAGCTGTCCCTCATCCTGAGCGACGTGCTGGCCACCTTCTACACGGCCAAAGCCACCCGCCGCGGGGGCACCCTCGACCAGATCGGCACCGTTGGCGTCGCAGAGCTAGCAAAGCCGATAGTAATGATGCTGCGGGAATGGTACGCCAAACTCCCGGAAGCCCTCCAACTCCAAGAAACCCGTCTCAAAAAGCTCTCCGCAAACGGTACGTCCCAACCTTTCCCCCATGTGTAATTGCCTGTTCTAAACACTAACTCCCCACAGGCTCCCTCCACCTCTCCTACATCTCAATAGACCTCGCCCTCCACCGCTCACTCGTCCGCAACATCTCCTCCAACGCGCCCCCGGAGCTGCGCGCCGCCATCCGCACCGGCGCCCGCGCCCGCCTCGCCGCCGCCTCCAACATCATCTCCAACCTGCAGATGGAGCACATCCAGTCCTTCTGGGGCTTCGCCGCCTCCGCCCAGCTCGCCGGCATCGGCTCCTTCGCCGGCCTGCTCTGGGCCACCTCCGACGACGACCACGAGGCCATGTACTACGCCGACCGCGTCGAGGAGTACCTCTGGAGCCTGCGCGTGCGCGCCCAGGCCGCGCCCTTTGCGAGGGAGGCGCTGCGCATGCTCGAGGCCGACGTCGGCGGCCTCGGCGCCGTGAGGGCCGCCGCGACGACGGGATTACATGGGGAGATGAAGATGTGAAAAGAGAAGGAGGCAAGAAAGTATTATACGGAGCGACCCTTCACGACTCCGCAGGCTTCTCCGGGTATTGTGTGTCGTTTCGTCCGCGTACAGGAGCCTCCTGAGAGCCCCCTTTTCCAGCGCAGCTCTTCTGCGACGTCAAGCGGCGCATTAAAGGCCGGCCAGTGTACCGTTCGACCAGGGTCTCACCAAGTCGGTCGGACAGGACGCTGGTTGCTACCGCAGTGAGCCGCCAGACGTCCTCAATCCCTGAGATCTGCTCTAGGAGGGGGGGCTCTGACGAAGTTCCTGTACACGGACGAGGGAAGAAGACAGACGTATGCTCTCCCGAGATGACGCACCCGAGACGTGACCTTAAACTCCCCTCCTCAAGCTCATGCCCGATTCGCATGCTCAGACGGTATCGCCCATACCCGAAAAGTGGCGCGGCTTGAGTCAACCCTCCTCAAGTCGCGGGTATGGTTCGTCTGGGAACGCTTGAGGAGGGGAGTTTAAGGTCACGTCTCTGGGAGGGGGGGAAAGACCTCGCCAGGCGTCAAGGCTTGATAAGCAAAAGAAAGCCTGCGTCTTTGTAGACATGCCTCCACACTGACTGAGGCGGTGTCCTTAAACTCCCCATCCTCAGGCTCATGCCTCGCGTATGGGCATGCTCAGACACGTATAGTAGGCGCGTGGGACCAAGATCCGCCTGTAAGCCCCGCTTGAATTACCCCCTCTTCAAGTAGCAGGTCAGTGGTTTTGGTCGATCTGAGAAAAGGCTTGAGGAGGGGAGTTTAAGGATGCGCCCGAGGCCGGTGAAAGGCATGTCACTCGGCATTTTTCGATCTCGAATGGTGAAGATGGGAGAGCGACGCATATATCATGTACATATGAATTGAATGCAATTAAGCGGGACGGGTGGCCTTATGGAGGTGGGGCTGGTCTTTTGTCTGGGATATACCCCTTAAACTACTGAAGGGATGGGGATGTTTTGGACGCTGCGGCATGTTTGATGAAAGTCCTGCGTTATTAGCACTAAGAGCGTCTTTGATATGCACATATTCCCAAAAACTTTCTGAAAATAGATACTAGTAAATGAAACATTGTCATTCATCACTGAGTGTAATGCATGCGTCGAAAACAGAAGATATGTGGCCGTAAGAAACAAACGCTTTTATCTACATTACAAGTAATATCTACAATGGCCATCTGTAGCGGGCCGTCTGTGTCGGTCCCTTTGGGTATCATGTGCACGTGACCATCCAATTTCCCATTCCGTAATCCCGATCGTGCAAGGATTGCAGCGCTCGATGAATAAAACAACAACTCCTCAGTAGAATCCGAACGTGGTGAAGAGGCAGAAGGACGCAGCGGCAGCGACGTTGACCCAGGCAAAAGAGGCAAAGGCTGCTGCGCCAGATTGCGTGCCTGTGGACTGCGTAGCGGCTGCGGCAGACGTCTCATGGCCGCTGAGGCCAAGAGTGGCCGTCGTCCCTGCTGAGACGACAGTGGTGATGCCGGGCTGGTTCACAACTGCGGGTGTGGCGGTGGCATCAGCCGTTGTAGTAGTGGTGGTTGGCGGGGGATCATTCCTGGTTGCAAATCCTGTAAAAAGGTTAGCACATGGCCGATGTATCTATTTTCTTTGATGAGACTCACCAATACGCTTCTGGTCCTTGTCAAAGGCCGCGTAAACGTTCTTGAGGAAAACATCACCCAGCAACCAGGCTCCTGGTACGACCTCATGCCCATAGATGTTGCTCGTACAAGTGCCATCGCTGTTCTGAGATCCCCGCCAGTCCTTCGCAGAGATGACATAGCTGGTACCAGAAAAGGTGTATGTAACGTCCTTGTTGCTGTCACACGGCACCTTGAATGTGGTGCCATCTTCCGAGGATGAGCCAGGGATATTGGCGTGGAATGCGGCTACGTCAGTCTGGGGTCCAAAGACGTAAGACGTTCCAGTGTCAATGTAGGCAAGCTTGCCAGCCGCACCGGACTTCTGACCGTCGTAAGCAATGCCGTCCAAAGGAATCGCCCAGTCGCCGTTCTCAGAGCCAACAGCGGTGTAAGTGAAGTTGCCGGTGTATTTGTCGGGGTTACAGGAACCAAAGCTGATTTCACTCGTGTTCGGTCCGTCAGCGGCTCTGTTCAGATAGACGCAAAAGATGGTGGCATCAAGCTGCTTGGAGTTCTGGACAACCTGAACGAAGTTCTCCGTCTCACCACCTGCCATCGAGAGACCCAGGATGCCATCAAAGGGGAAGTGGTTGAAGTCGTCGGAGGTTTCGTTGGCAACACCGAACTGGAAGTCAAAGTTCATGCCGGCAAATGAGATGGTGTCTGAAATCTTCTGGCCCTTGACTGATCCAGAGCCATAGGCCACAGAGAAGCCTTCAGAAAGGTCCTTGTACGAGTCGGAGTCGGTTGGACCATAGGAGCCATGCTTCTCGCAGGCGGATGACTTGCAGGAAGAGCCCATCACCCAGCTAGTGCCAGCTCCGGTATCGATGAGCATCCACAAAGCCTTCTGCTGAGAGCCGAACTTGACTTGGGCGAAGTAAGAGAAGTCCGTGCCATCCTGAGCGACAGGGGCGGCATTCTTGAGGGTGGTGTCCGCTGCGGTGATGATGCGGTAGAGGCTCTGTCTCTTGGCATTGCGAGCCCTCTCTCTGACTACCTCGGCGGATTGAAACCTCGCATACTTGCGAGTGAGACGTTCGACCTCGCGTGCAACTCGGTCAGACTGAGGATCCTCCGTCTACAAACAGAGTGGTTAGCTTCTTATATTGGTGATTGGATATGACCATGGGCCTCCATCGTCGGGTCCAACAACCGAAATACACTCCACTTACCGAGTCTTTGGTAATCTGGGGACCGACATGGAAGGCCGGGTTCTTGATGGCCTTGATGGCGTTTACCACATCTTCTCCAAGCGCTTCTTGATCCCTAGTCTCCTTTGCTCCAGAAGACCCGCAACCGCCAACAAATGGACAGTGACTATCGACCTCAAACGGGAAGAAAGCTTGAGCAGACGAGAGGAATAGCGAGAGGTGAGCCAGAACCTGGGTTGAACGCATCTTGGAAGCGAGACGGGCCGGGCTGTCCTGAGCAGTAATCGATACGAGTTGTGATGTCGACTGAAGTCAATCAGTCAATACCACTCAATTCGAAGTCGCCGGGTCGGTAAGAGGCAACTGAGCAAGACACGATCGATGGGACCAAGATACTGCAGCGAATGACGTCGGGAACTCGATATCTGGGCTTTGGGAGAATCGGCTTTCGACGGGCTTTGGTGCGGGTGCCAGACTCCGCGGCGGAGGACAGATTAAGGTATTAAGAATTAGTTGTCGCGCAAGTAAAGCGGAACGTTAATGGAATGAGTCTCGAAGAGTCAGGGGACTCTTTTAATTCGGGACTCGGACTCGGGGGAGGCGGCGGGTATACAAGCAGGAATGCGTAATGTTTGAGAGTGATGTTGGCGTATGGATGCGAAAATGCTGTACGCTGGCGGGTCGAACCAAGGGCAAGACAATGGAATTGATGGACGGGTGACGGCGAGCGCCACTAGCGAGGAGGGCCAGAGACACGATGCAAGACAATGAGACAAGCGTAGATGGCTGCGGACGATGCTGTACTCTCTGCAAGGGAAGCGAGTTGGGGTCGAACAGGCAGAGATAGATGGCGATGATCTCTGGTTTTCGGGTGTTCTAAATCTGTGCCAAACCACACAAGACAAGAAAACACACAAAAAAATGGGCGACCTTGAAATAAATCAAGATCAGACCGGACGGCTCGAGAAGAAAAAGAAGAAGGATGCCCGCCGAATGGTGGAGAGGATTGGCGAGGCAAGGCGAGGGGAGGTGGAGGGTTGAGAGGCAAGAGGAAGAGAGGCGAGGCGGGAGGGGATCGTGGGGAGTAGTTATGCAGATGCACCTGTGCGAATCGGAGGTGGAGGAGACGCCAGTGGGCAGGCCGCTGCCGTCAATACCACCGCTAGCAGGGGAAGGTAGCGACGTTGGTCGTGGTCTGGGAAGGTCCAGTGGTGATGGCGTCCCCAGTGACAGGGGGGAAAGAGGCAGGAGACGCCGCTCACTGGTCAGACATGGCTGGCAGTCTGGCTCGCTGCCACGGCTCCGAGGGCTGTCTGTCCGAAAGAGAAAGGGACCTGCTGAAAGAGATTGGACGTCTGTCGTGATTATTGGCCAGAGAGGCCAGGTGCTAGCCCGGTGGAAGTGGATAGCCTGCCCGTTTCTGCTTGCTTGCTAGCAGCAGATCTGCACACATGCATGCAATTGCGCAGGGGAACTGAGAGTCCGGTGCTTCTTCCATCTTACCTCACTCACACTAGAGTCTACCAAACCACGGAGTTAGTAGCTACCTATGCACGTAAGGTATGCTACGCAACAAGTCCCGTCTGACCAATTCTGCCCCTTCCTTCTGCAACTCGTCCTGCTGGTCCAGGTGGTTGATGATGATGAGTGGCTCTCCCAGCTGTCGCCTCTGTCTTACCACCGAAAAGCCATCCAGCCATGTCCCGGGTCGAGGCAGTCCCTGCCACCAATGACAGCCCTGGCATCTGCTGGGTCGCGTCCGTGGTGGGGGACGCCTGGTCCGTGGCTTCATGCACGTATCTCTTCCCAGGGAACAGACCACACACCACCAACCTACCTCACAGGTACGACAGACTTTGGACACTGCTGTCAACGGGTCAACCGGGAAGGACCTGACAGCGCTGACAGTCACTCTTCGCGGCTACCTTATTCACTGGCAGACAAGCTCGTTCAGCGCGTTTTGCTGCCGTTCAACGCCTGAACGTTTCATGCAAAACAGACGGACCCGTGATGGGATGAACTGACAACCCGCACTTGCCCCTCCCGTCCTGATTGGCGGGCTGTTTTACGCGTAGCTCCCCCTTGGCGAACATCAACTCCCTTCCTCTTTGGGACGCTGCCTTCAGGGGCACCCGCTCATCACCCATTCTTTCTACGGGCTCCCACGGACCGCAAGCTTTCGGCTGCCGTGCTTCCTTATCATCCCGCCAGTCAATTGCAACTCGACTGAACCCTTCGCATGCGGCTGCAATACGTCCCGGCCTTCTTCGAATATTCGAGCCCGGCAATCGTGTCTCATCGCCCTCAGCCTCGACTCCCGGCATACAGGTGGCCGTCTCCTCGCGATGCCGTTCACGTACTCTCAGCAAGCCACAACCTCGTGGCCCCAACCGATTAATTGCCTCTTCCCTCGCACTCTGACCGTTACCGTGGGCAAACGACGAGCGAGAGAAAGCCAATTCACTGCTAGCCGCAGCCACCGAAAAAGCCGCCTTGCCTGCTTTAGCGCTAGGAAAACAAGCTGCAAGGGAGCGCTGCTCTAAAGACTCTCCACTTCCAATGTCCCCTCCATACTGCTTCGGGCCATCGCCTCCAGCCCAAGCAACCACGCCTATCCTTCCCAAGCTTTCTTCTCCAGGTCGACCCTGGTAGCCAGACCGGACGACGGCTCATTTGAGACCTCCCCCATTGACTTCGACACTGCGCAACCTGTGCGCGTTTGTCTCACACTCGCAATCCCGCTGAGAGCCAGAAGCCTTGCCCGTGGGTTCGGAAACTTCAACAGCAAGCCGCAACTTACCTACCGTCGGTTCCATGTCTACAACTCTCGACTCCTCGAGTACCATCGCCGCTGCATGCAATCTCGAACCCTTTGTCAACATAGTCTCCTCCTCCGGGAACGTGCATCATTTCTCGGCGGACTCGGCCAAGGCCTATTGCTTTCCGCTCATAACCACGTCAACCAGACCAAACGATCCCACGGACGGCGGGCGCTGAGCCTGGCTCGTGCTTCCATGTCATTTGGATCTCCCTTCAATCCCTTGCCGCCTGATGGATACTCGGGAAATTCTCTCCTCGAGGTCGAGTCGTCCACTGCTCTGTGCTCACTGGCTACGATTTGGCACTGCTGCTCATCGCTCGAGCCATTCGCTACCTCCCACCGCTGCTCCTCCTCCATCTTCTCCCTGGTCGTCTAGACTCGCTATTTCGGCCGTTCGCTCGTCACCTCTCATCTTCCTCGACTCTCGACTTCCGCATCCACTCTCCATCCTCTAGGGCCCCCAGCTGATTCAGCCTGCATTGGCCCGACATTGAAGCGTTTGTGTCTGGGGTTTGGCAGAAGATCGACCAACTCAATCATACGCAAAAGAGGGGACATTGGTGGTAGAGGCTCGATTTGCTGTGAAAACCATCAGTCTTGTCGACCCTGCGCCGCTGGCCCCCAGGGTTCAATCTGCCTCGAGCCACCTGAGCCCTACTGCTAATTACACGATTCCCAGCCTTTTCCTCTTGCGCCAAAGATTTCCTCTGGTCAATCTTACAACTGACAGCTATCCCCGCCACTAAGCCGTTTGGTTCTCGTCACAAGGCCGCCCACAGCCTCGAGGCTGGCGAGGCCTTTCCAACGCCGTCGCAAATGCCTCATCCCCCAGCCGTTTGTTCGGCCGGCGTCTTCCTGACCCGAACATGGCGCTGCACAAACGACAGCCCAGCCGGCTCGTTGCAGGCCGATGCACTAACAAGCCAATGCTATCTGTCGCCTTGAATAACGGCCGAGGGCTTGCAAAGCCTTCATATGGGTATTTGCAGATGTCATGCCCATCGACTACATCATTTTGCTGCGTATAAAGTTGAGAATGACGGAGGCCTTGGGCGCCGTCCATCCGGGGTCCTTGCCCTCCGCTGGCGGTTCCACGACCACATCACACTGTCCGCAGATCCGATTCTTTTCGCGCGCTGCTGACTTCGACAGAGAAGCAGGGGCGTCCATTTGTGGACATGATGGACAGGGGCCCATCGCCAAAAAGTTTCAGCCTCTTATCACCGACGACCGACCATCCTGGGGGTGGCTTGCTGAGGAATGCATCAATTAAACCGAGGTATGCACGACGACCGCTGCGCCACGGTCGTGAGCAAGGCCAGTCTATCGACAATTTGAGCAGCAGATGTCATAATTCGCGAGCAAGAATGTGACTGCACGCGGCTTTCCCATCTGCGGTGCAGGGAATTCCTTGAAAATGTGAGCATTTCTGCCGTGTCTTTTTGCGCTTGAACGTCGCGAGGCTCGCTCGTATTCCGCCAACGCGATGGGACCAATTTCAGGGCTCAACCCAGAACGACATCAAGCAAATGAGGTTCAAGGGTCCTCAAAATAGCCTCCCAGTTCAAACGGCAACGCCGCAAGCGCCACCCACGCGATTCGAGGTTTTTAAGCTTCAATCTTATAGCTTTGTTCTAATGCGCTCGGAATAACTCCGTCGCCATGAGGGCCATACATATCGCACCACTTCCGGGCCGCTGACAAGACTCGAAATCCCGTAGAGTCTACAGGTGCAGCAGCAGAGAGCTTCTCCTGGACGTTGACAAACTTTTCTAGGCCAGCCTGCCCCATTGCTGTGTTGGATGCCGTGGTGCGCAGAAACCACCATACTGACTCGTTCTCCCACCGCAAAGACTCGGCCAGGTCAAGTGTCTCTTTGAACACCGATGAGAAGACTTGATTATCAAAGTTGCTCCGGCTCTCAACCAAGAGATGAGCAAGGAACGACCATCCGGAGATGTCTGTGTGGTGTCTAAAGGACCACCTTTTGACACTCTGAATGAGCGGGAAGATATCCTCACTGCTGAAAGCAGTTTCGAAAGTTTTCGTCAACCATCGTGCATGGCCCCAGGCGTAGTAATTTCGTGGGTGTCTTTCACCCGCTATCATGATGACTGCTTCGACATCCTGTTGGATGGCAACGGGCAGTCCCAGTTCACGGAAACGCTCAAGCAGCCATCGCCGATGACTCCATAGCGTCGGTGACTTTGTGTGCCGGTGAAGTCGGCTGGTGAGCAAGCTGTCAACAAACCATTTCTCCTGCATCAATGCCGATCTCACATCGCCTCCTGCAGACATCTCGCTCCAGAGAAGACGTTTCCTGGTGTTGGCAGCCGTCAGGTGCTCGGGATCCATGAGAAGCAAAGCGCCTGTCGCTAGCCGCAGCTTTCCAGCTCCCACAGTGCCATCGGCCAGATTATTCTGCAGAATCTGCCGCGCGACGACGAAGGCTTGGACCAGTCGAAGTTTGGGAACGGCGACGGCGTTATCGTCTCTTAGGAAGTTCTCTTCCGGGCTGATGGGGTGGCTGCGGCCTAGGATCTCGATTTCAAGAAGACGCTCGTCGTGCGGATTTTCAAAGAGGCCGGCGATTTCGTTGAAGATCTTTTGGTGATCGCCTTGTTTCAAGGCCGCGATGACATGTTTGTCCAGTGCTCTCGACATTGCATTGGCGTTGGCGGTGACTGGCCTGACTCACGGCATGTCTGGGATGACACGCAACAAAGCACATGCAACAGCAACTCTCGAATATCCGCAGTACCACAGATGCAAGTGAAAGCCTCGAAACTATGCAGTTGCTGATCTAGGCGTTGATGCCGTTGTTGTCTTGTTGCGAGGAATGCACCAGGTGAGGTAGGAAGGTGGTGGAGATGATTGGCTACCTCGATGGTTGGGCCAACCCGCTATGCTTTTAGCGGGGCAATGACATAGGACCACGTTTTCCTCCCGCTAAAGGGCTTCTCCGGAAAGTCGTCACACACCGTTTGCAATAATCGACCAGCCTCGCCCAACGCAAACTCCCCCAGCGCAGCATGTGCCGATAAGCAACCGACCGCTTGCGAGTTTCTGAATCTTTCAAGCGCCGCCGACCTTTCGACAAAATGCCTTCCCTGCTCGTCATCATCTTCGTGCTGGAGGTGGTCTCCCACTTGGTCAACTCCATTGGAGCTGCCACCATCAATAGCTTGGTGAGTATCTTTCCCCTCTCCCCCTTCGTGTCTCATTTTATGCTTTGACGGCCGCTCCGGTCGCGGAAAGATCGACCATGACTGACCGCTGGCCAGCTCTGGACGTTGCTCAACTACCTCCCCGTTTCGACGTCCAAGACGGCGAAGCAGCACCGACAGCTACAGGCAGAGTTCCTGAAAGTGCGAAAGGAGCTGAATGCGACTAGCAGCCAGGACGAGTTCGCCAAGTGGGCGAAGCTGCGCCGGACGCACGACAAGTTGTTGGACCAGCTCGAGAAGAGCAGTACGTGGCCCTCCCCCGCTTCCTCCGGATACAGATGCGTCTCCGACTTTGCAAAGTAGTCACTGACGCACGTATTTTGTCACAGAGCAATCCCAAGAAGGAGCGAAATCCAAGTTCGACACTTACCTCACCGGCTTCCGACTCCTCGTCACGAAGGTTCCCCAATATGGCTTGCCCTTCTGGTACTCCAAGGAGCCCATGTTCTGGCTGCCTTACGGATGGTTTCCGTACTACGCGGAGTGGCTCATGTCCTTCCCCAAGGCACCGATGGGCAGCGTGAGCATCGTGTCGTGGCAGTTGGCGTGCAACGGCATGGTCACCCTCCTCACGGAGCTGATCACGTCGATTTTGGGGCTCGTTCTGAAGGCCAAGCAGGGCCAGCAGCAGCAGGGCAAGGCAAAGGTCAAGGTACCCGCCGGAGCCACAAACGCGAAGTCAGAGTCTGCTGCCTCCGCGCAGCAGGAGAAGAAGGAGCTTTGATACCAAGCAAGGGTCACATACCCCGCCCGAATCGAGGAGAGATTTTAGAAAATAATGAATGGCTCTGCAAAAAGAAAAATTGCTTCTACAGTGATGGAATGTATCTCGTTTGATTTGACGCAAAGATCTTAATTGCAAGGCTAAGACTTTGTAACACGACGTAGACTACTCTTGGCAGAGTATATGGGGTTTGCTCTAGGCGTCATATTGACTTTGTTCGACCATTGAGGTGCCGACAAAGCTTCGAAAGCGCCATTACTGTGATAATCGGGATTAGTTCACGAAGCATGTGGTTAGAGAACAAGAGCTCTGTCAATCGCGATAAGCGCTGCGCTGGCAAGTCCTTCAGATACAACGTAGGACAGCGCGACATTACAGCGCAGAGAAATTGATTCTCTTCGACTTCCAGAATTAAGAACATCGATTGCGCCGAGGGGGCAGCAAGCAGCTGACAGTTCGCGATCACTGTTCGTGTTGTTGTTGAGGGAAGGGTTCTGAGAGAATTTGCAGTGGATAATCGCCAAAAATATTTCTTTGGAAAGTGCACCGCCACGACCCACCTTCAGTTCGCGCCACATCTCGTCTATCTCAGTTCGGAACAACCTCGCTCCGGTGTCCAGCTCAGCCCCATTCCCCTTGGAGGCAACGACATCAACTTGGCAGCTCCGTGTTTGGCCCTTGCTATCGTCAAGCTTGAACTCAACCACCCACTTACGGCTTCGGAGCTCCCGCCACACCATCAAGATGGCTCCGGCACAGGATACCATGTTTCGCTCGGCGAACATGAGTATGGTGCAGCTGTACATTTCCAACGAAATAGGTCGCGAGGTTGTCACTGCACTTGGAGAGCTTGGTCTCCTCCAGTTCCGCGATGTATGTCGTCAGCCCCCGAGCCTCATCCGCGTCATCGAAGCTAACCATCAAACCCCATCACAGCTCAATGGCGAAGTCAGCGCTTTCCAGCGCACTTTCACTCAAGAGATTCGAAGACTCGACAATGTCGAACGCCAGCTGCGTACGTCATCAATCCCCAGGCCGCGCCCGACCCGGAACGAACGCGATCGAGACCCCAGCTAACATATATCATCAGGATACTTCTATGCTCAGATGGAGAAGGCCGGAATTCCTCTCCGCAAGTTCGATGTCGATGCGGAGCGCCTCGCCAATCCCTCTACTTCGGAGATCGACGAGCTGGCTGAGCGCAGCCAGGGCTTGGAGCAGCGTGTCTACCAGCTCAATGACAGTTACGAGACCTTGAAGAAGCGCGAGGTCGAGCTCACCGAGTGGCGCTGGGTTCTCCGTGAGGCTGGCGGCTTCTTCGACAGAGCTCACGGCAACGTTGAGGAGATCCGCGCGTCCACCGATAACGATGACGCCCCCCTGCTGCAGGACGTTGAGCAGCACAACTCGGCCCCCGAGGTCGAGCGCTCCTTCTCCGGCATGAACATTGGCTTCGTTGCCGGTGTCATCAACCGCGACCGCGTCGCCTCCTTCGAGCGTATCCTCTGGAGAACCCTCCGTGGAAACTTGTACATGAACCAGTCCGAGATCCCTGAGCCGCTCGTCGACCCGACCAACAACGAGGAGATCAACAAGAACGTCTTTGTGATCTTCGCCCACGGCAAGGAGATTCTCGCCAAGATTCGCAAGATTTCCGAGTCCATGGGTGCCGAGGTCTACAACGTCGACGAGAACAGCGATCTCCGTCGCGACCAGATCCACGAGGTTAACGCTCGCCTTAACGATGTCCAGAACGTTCTTCGCAACACGCAGCAGACTCTTAACGCGGAGCTTCAGCAGATCAGCCAGGCACTGTCCGCCTGGATGGTCTTGGTCACCAAGGAGAAGGCGGTTTACAACACGCTCAATCTGTTCTCGTACGACCGTGCCCGTCGTACGCTGATTGCTGAGGGTTGGTGTCCGACCAACGACCTCTCACGAATTCGCTCGACCCTGCAAGACGTCACGAACCGTGCGGGCCTGTCGGTGCCCTCCATTATCAACGAGATTCGCACCAACAAGACCCCTCCTACGTACATCAAGACCAACAAGTTTACCGAGGCTTTCCAGACCATCGTTAACGCTTACGGTACTCCCACCTACCAGGAGGTCAACCCGGCCCTCCCGGTCATTGTCACCTTCCCCTTCCTCTTCGCCGTCATGTTCGGTGATTTCGGTCACGCTGTCATCATGACGCTTGCTGCGCTCGCCATGATCTACTGGGAGAAACCTCTCAAGAAGGTCAGCTTCGAGTTGTTTGCCATGATGTACTACGGCAGATACATCGCCCTGGTCATGGGTCTCTTCTCGCTCTTCACTGGTCTCATCTACAACGATATCTTCTCCAAGTCTATGACGCTGTTCGACAGCGCCTGGGAGTGGGACGCCGGTGACAACTACACTGAGACCAGAACGCTTGTTGGCAAGCTCAACGACAAGGGCTACCGCTACCCCTTCGGTCTTGACTGGAGATGGCACGGTACCGACAACGACCTCCTCTTCAGCAACAGTTACAAGATGAAAATGTCCATCGTCCTCGGTTGGGCGCACATGACCTACTCTCTTATCTTCTCCTACGTCAACGCTAAGCACTTCAACAAGAAGGTCGATATCTGGGGCAACTTCGTTCCCGGCATGATTTTCTTCCAGTCCATTTTCGGCTACCTGGTGCTTTGCATCATCTACAAGTGGACCGTCAATTGGTACGACCCCTCGGTCACGGAGGGTCCTCCTGGACTGTTGAACATGTTGATCTACATGTTCCTGTCGCCCGGTTCAACCCCCGAGAAGCTTTACAACGGCCAGGGCTTCGTCCAGGTCGTTCTTTTGCTGCTTGCTTTCATTCAAGTTCCTATTCTCCTGTTCCTGAAGCCTTTCTGGCTCCGCTGGGAGCACAACCACGCTCGCGCCAAGGGCTATAGGGGTATTGGCGAGAGCTCTCGTGTTAGTGCTCTGGATGGCGACGACGACGACGAGGCGCAGCCGCTTAACGGCCGCCCGAGCTTCGAATCAGACGGCGAAGGCGTTGGTATGATCACGCAGGACCTGCACGGCGATGGCGAGCACGAGGAGTTTGAGTTCAGTGAAGTGATGATCCACCAGGTTATTCACACGATTGGTAAGTCAATCGCATTTGCTGCTTGGAAAGAAAAATGCTAACGGCACATGTAGAATTCTGCTTGAACTGTGTTTCCCACACGGCTTCCTACCTCCGTCTCTGGGCTCTGTCGCTTGCCCACCAGCAGCTCAGTGTTGTGCTCTGGAACATGACTCTCAACAACGTCCTGCCCATGACTGGTGTCCTTGGTGTTATTGCCATTGTCATCGGTTTCTATCTGTGGTTCTTCCTTAGTGAGTGTTCGCCATCCGTTTCATCTTTTTCGCCTGCTAACAAGGTCCCAGCTATCGCCATTCTCGTCCTGATGGAGGGTACCAGTGCTATGTTGCACTCTCTCAGATTGGCATGGGTCGAGTCCTTCTCCAAGTTTGCTGAGTTCGCTGGTTGGCCTTTCGCACCGTTCTCATTCAACACCTTGTTAGAGGAGACGGAAGAGCTGAAGGAGTACCTGGGTTAATTAGAGCTCCGGGTGCTTGCTTGTAGGGTATTGCATCGCATTTGATTTTGCTCATTGTAAACTTATCCATTGTATCATAAGGAGCCCAATGCATTAGACATTCGGCACATAAGACTGCTGCCGCATCGTATTTGATTGATAAATCCGTCAAGCATAGCATTGATACGACTAATGTTGTGCAAGTCCAATTCGCTTAAGGTAATGGCCCCATCTTGTGTGATTTCAGTCTCATTGTATCATGGCTCAGTGCTGGACTATTCAGCATCTCTAGTGTTCAGGTGCCATCGTAAACTTGTGACTATATTATACAAAGCGCAAACGCCCTTTTGTTTTCAAACGTAAAGACAGCCAAATCAATTCCCGTGGAAACCACATTCTTATCACCTTATCCCCTTATCCCCAAAGAGGAGCCGTCACCTCAGCCGCGTGCTCGCAAACCCGTCTCACGCGATCGGCAAACGCCTTGTGACTGCACTCGACCTCCAGATCCTCGAGCCACACCACGGCCTCCATCTTGTCCACCTTGACCTTCACGCCGGGCACGGGAATGCCGATCTTGTGAAGGCGCTCAATCTCGGCCTTGCGCCGCGCCGCGAGCTTCTTCTCCTGCTCCGCCTCGCTGCCGTCGTCCTCGGACACGTCCATGGAGCCGTCGCTCTCGCCGTCGGCCGTGAGTTTCTTGGGTTGCGCGTCGGAGGAGGGGTCCTCGGCGGGCAGGCGGGGTTCGGCGACGGGGTTGACGTTGTCCGCGCCGAACTGGGCCTCGAGGAACATGAGGAAGCGCTCGAGGCGTTGTTCGGGGAGGACGTTTGCGTGGGGGTTCTTGGGGAGGGGAGGGGGCGCGTGGTCGTGGGTGTGAGAGCTTGCAGACCCTTTTAGGTAGTGTTAGTAATTGGTAGACAGAAGGCGAGAAAAGGGGGATAAACGTACGTTTTACCGCGGCGGGACTGCTTTCGATGGAAAAGAGGCACGACATTACGGCATCGGCGATGCCGTCGTTGAGCATGTTGCCCTCCCACTCCAGCTCGACCTCGCCGTCACTGCGATAGCGCACCGCTACGCAACCCATTACGAGGTATGCTGCTACCAGACGCGCGACCTCCTCGTCTGCTTCCTCCTGCTGCTCGCCGTCTTCCATCTTGGTGTCGTCTCCGTTGCCGTTGACGGATTCCTTGTGCGCGGGGTGTCCCTTGCGCATCTCGGGCAGCTCCTCCACACTTCCGAACACGCCTTCCAAGCCCCAGCGGACGAGGTCAATGCCAGCGGCCGTCAGACGGAGGCGCTGCTTGCAGGTGATGGTCGTCGTGTTCAGGCCTGCATACTCGCGCAGGTCCTCTGGGGCCATCAAGGACAGCTTGAAGTCGTTTTGCACGAGGACGCCCGTGACGAGCTGCTGCTGTTCCTGCGCGGGTGTGAGGGAGGTGGGTGGGGGGATGGTTGCGAGCTTGCCGACGACCTTGGCCGTCTTGTCCTGCTTGAAGGGGATGCGGAGCTCCTCGCAGTTCTTGGGGCTGAAAACCTTGACCTTTGTCGTCTTGCCCGCGTTCAGGGAGAGAAGCTTGGACTTGAGACGCATCATGTTGTGCTGCTCGCCGTGGACGAGGATGACGACGGGGGCGGCCACTTCTTCGATAAACTCGCGGTTCTCAGTGCCGTCGACGTGGGCGGCGAAGGAGTACTCGGCGACGCTGCACCGGCGAGGGAGGAAGACCTTCTCGCTCTCTCCTCCGGGGCCGCGTCGCGCGCCGGCGGTGGTTCGGCTCATGACGGCCTGGATTTGGTCGGGCTCCTGCATGATCTGCTTGGCCATGGTGCCCTCGACACTGTAACCGGTGATGATGACGCCGTTCTTCTCGTTGGGCGCCCACCGCTCGAGCAGCTCGCGACTGACGCCGTTCTGCAGCATACCCGGGGATGCGAGCATAACGCAGCCGCCGACGTCGTCAAAGCGATCGAGGTTCTTGAGGGAGCGGATGTACTTGAAGTCCCAGGGGCCGCCCTTGCCCGACCCGTCACCGGAAGCTTCGGCCTCGGCCATACGCTCGCGGAAGAGGCGCTTGATGTTGTCGTTCATTGCGCCGACGTAGGTTTGGTAGACCACCATACACTTCCTGGCGAGGTTTGAGGCGTAGTAGATCGGGAACTTTTGATACTCGCCATGCTTTCCCCAGTACTCGTCGAGGATGAGAAGGAGTTCCTGGGCGCGACCGAGGGCGAATACGGGCATCAGGACGCGGCCGCCACGGTTGAGGATGCCGGTGATTGACTTCATCAGGGCCTGTTCGCGCTCGAGACGGGGTACGTGGGAGGCGATACCGTATGTCGATTCGGTGATGAGGACGTCAATCTTGACGCCCTTGGGAACCTCGGCGGAGACCAGATGACGATCCTGCTCGCGGGAGTAGTCTCCCGTGAAGAAGATCTTGAGGCCGGCGATCTCGATGAGGAACATTGCTGCACCGAGGACATGGCCGGCTGGATAGGGGGTGATGCGGATGGAGGAAATTGTGTGGGTAGTGTGGTAGTCGATGGCTTCGATCTGCGGGAATGTGTTGAGATGGTCTGCCTCGGTGTAGACTGGTTGTGAGGTCGGGTTTGAGGACGTGTTGCCGACGCGAACACTGTCTTGGATGAGCCATTTGTAGATTGCCTTGGTGGGATGGGTCATGAAGACGCGGCCCCTGAAGTTCGTCTTGGAGAGGACATATGGTAAGGACGCCGCATGGTCGACGTGGAAACTATAGGGCCATTAGTGTTCTGAATAGGAGTGGATGGACACTACCAGCCCCTAGAGAGCTATCACGACGACGAGGATGGCAGAGCAAGGCAGGTGGGAAAGAAGTTTGTATTATTCTGTGTACAAGAGATGATGAAATAGCATAGAGACGTAGCAAGAGGCTCCATCAGGGGCACCATCGTCATCGACGACGCTGTCCCGAGCCTGGGCATGATCCCGTATAGTTCCAAGTCGTTTCACCGCCTTGCCCTGTGATCCAACAGCATATAGGAGGGGGCGCTTACTGGCTGATCAGGAGGACGTCGACCGTACTGAGGTCAAAGTCGTCGAAGAAGGGCAGCGCCGCGAGGCCATCGTAGGCAGGATGCTGACCTGCATCAAGCTGTGGCGCATGTGAGCAGTTGTCTGCAGAACGATTGGGATTGTGCGTACCATAACCGTCTTCCCCTTGTATTGAATGATGTGGCATGACCGACCGACTTCGTTTCCTCCTCCGAGGCACAGAAACATCAGCTCGTCGGAAGGATCTACTGGCTCGTCGGCAACGGTGGCCGCCATGGCCGATGCCTTGCGTTTCGCAGCCATACTAGTCAATGAAAGGCCGAGATAGCGGTCCGGCCGTCAATTCGGGGAAAGTCCACCAGTGTGTCTGGTGATTGTCACTAAACAGTTAGTTCATTCGCAATGGTTCAAGCAGTGTGCGCGATGAATCGTCGTTGACGTTTCCCCGCGACAGAGACACGGAGGCCAAGGTTGTGGAGCGCCAGAGGGAGAGAACGACGCGCATGCGGCAGCTGTCGCGTAAAAAGTTGGAGGCCAAGGTGCCTGACGTCTAGCGATAGGTCCTGCCTGGACGCCCGGACCGCAGCGCAAAACCGGGGGAGCAGGCTGAAGCATCACGTGACTTTAAATTCACGCGGTCCTCAGATCCTTTTGGCGACAGCTCCTTCCTCCTCATATCACCCACCCATCACGACTATTGTCACCCAACTACCACAACCACAGAACACCGCGTCAACGTCAAATTCGACCTCAAGCTGCAGCGAACATATCGACCGACCCGCGCGAAGTCGAATTTTGATTATCTCGCAAGTACAGCGAACCAGCAGATGGGCAGAGTCGCGTGAGGTATCGCTAGGCTTCTCGGCCTGCAGAGCTATCAGAATTACCGGAGCAGCGCCTCTGAACGACACTTCAACCTGACCAAATTTTTATCTCACTATCTCTTTTAATAACAGCAAAGATGGCGCAGCCGCAACCCCAGATGCCCCAGAGAGCGTTCTCGCCTCCCCAGCCCTCTCCTTCCCCCGCCGCGACGCAACCGGGCTTTGCGCTCCCTCCTAACAAACGACCGCGACTTTCTCCTGGCGCAACACCGCAACCCGAATCTCCATACTCTACTTCGCCTTACGCCGCGAGTCCCGGCGCTCCCGTTACTCCTTCCACAGCTGCGACATCCGCAGGCTCGCCGATTTACCCCAACGCCCAGCCACAGCAGCAGGCGCAACCGCAACAACAGTCCGTTGCGAATAATTACTCCACCCCATACGCAAACGGCAACAGCACTCCCACGTTGGCCCTTCCCGAACAGCGACCGACTCCTCAACCTCAAGTTACCACGCCTCAACCTCCAGCACCGCCAACACTACCATACACCAACGCGCAATTGACTCTCGGCGCTACACCAGGCACTCCCGCCATGCAGCAACCCTCCCCTACCCCCGGCGCTATGGGTCCGCCCTCGCGTCCTCCCGACCGACCTCAGAAGGAATACGATTACGATCCTACCGATTCGCTTGCTGGAACAGGCATCGACCTTCGCGCCGAGGAACAATACCTCTCTGACCTCTATGTCCCTGATGGACAGAGAACCGGCTATGCCCCATACCCTCCGGGTAATAAGGGAAGCTTCTACGGTGCTGGCCCCGCGAACCAGCCAGCTCAGCCGGCCGGAGTAACCACACAGAATGCGCTCGTCGCGCAGGAGGCGGAAAAGGCATGGCAAGAATCTGCGAAGCGCTTGGCTACTACTAGAACTATGGAGCTGAACAACGCATTCTTGCAAATCCCCATCATCTTCCGCAAGGCAGAGAAGTTCGCGAAGGAGCAGGGACTGTCGCTCAACTTGGAGATCAAGAACAACAACCAGCCTATGGGGCGGATGCGGTTGCCCGAGGAGTTTCCCAACCCATCTGTCACGGTCTCCACCAAGACCGGGCCCGATGCCACAATGGTAACCACGACTGGCACCTGGATACCTCAAGAGGCGTATCTGGTCGACCAGTTGGCTTTGTTGTCGCTCGCCACCAAGCAACGCCTTAGGACGCTCATGGAGGATAGCAACCGGATTGCCAAGAACCGTCAGAAGTCGTCACACGGCGAGGTCCCTGAGGAGTGGCAGACAGCAGCCGCACCCCTAAAGAGTGCCATGGAGACGCAGGAAGTCGACGCGACGCAACAGACGGGGACTGAAAACGGCTCCAGTCCTCGCCCTCAAAAGCGTCAGTTGTTGCGGGCTTCGCCATGTATATACCTTGCTAACTTTCTATCCAGGTTCTCTCGAGGATGCCCACTCAAGTCAACCTAACAAGGTTCAGAAGGTCGCTGCTACAAACACTATGAGTCACACTGTGAGAGAGGTCGGTAAGGCTGAGAGAGACTGGGAGGAGAGACGGCTGCGAAGACGCAATGCCAGAAAAGACGGCACTGCGGAGGCCGGATCAACGACATCACGCGCAGGCTCAGTCGCGCCTGGAACCCCTGGAGGCTCAGCACCAGACTCGGAGAAGCAAATTTCCAAGAAAGAGCAGAAGAAACTTGACGCGGTCAAGAAGGCTGAGGCCAGCAGTCACGCCAATCAGAACATTACGAGCAGCATGTTCGTCGGTATGCCCAAAACGGGATCCCTATTTGGAAAGAAGAAAGGCGGCAAGTCATACTCGTGGATGACGGGAGGTAGCGGTGCTACTACCCCCAGACTTGGCACGCCCGGAAAGGCGGGCGGTGCAGCTGCTTCGGGCCCTCCAGCCCCGGCGAACCACGCGCTCACGGTCGAGGGTAGAGCCCGACTTGGCAATTGGCGTGAAGACAAAGAGAAGGGGAAGAACATCCAGCTCAGAGACTGGGTGGCTGCCCTTGAGGGTGACGAAGTTGAGCAGAGGGCCATGCAGGCGGCATATGACAAGATGGACACGTCTGATCCAAAATAGCCATGTCCGTGAGCGCAACAATATTTTTGGGAATTCGTTAGAGGCGTTTGCCTCTGTGTTGTATTTTTATTTAATCCTTTAGCATGGCGTTACGCACACAGCATGGTTAGGGGGCGGTCGGCTGCATACTAGCTCTCGGACGAAAAAGGCGATGCCAACCAGCTGGAGGACAACAGGAACGCGGTCGACGCAGGGCTTTACACTACTTTAATATCTCAAAGGGAGATCATCAGACATAGCCGAATGCCAAGCGTTACCTGATCAACTAGTCTTGAGCATAATGAAGATACAATTTTGACCGAGCCTCACCGAACTTCAGTTGATGTGGAGTAGCTGGAGATTGAACCAATGAAAGTTACGCCATTTCTGACAACCTCAATACATGCATGAGAGCCAGTTACGTTATCTTATCGGCCGAATTGCCCCGCGCAAAATTCAGTTAGCAGAACATACAATCGCGGGGCATTTGCGAGTGGGCTCAGTCACTCTCTCACGATACAGTTGACGATACACGGAGTTGCGCAGCGAGGCACGTCTTAATTATCACTGAATTGGAAACCCTGCAAAATAACCGAGGCTTTGGGCGGAGAGACAACGAAGCAGAAAGTGTCGCAGTCATGGAGGAGGACCGGGCGCAAACCGACCTGGGCATCGCCGCAGACATTGAGGCGTCTCATCGCGAAGAAGCAGCCGCCGCCGCCGAGCCGGCGCTGAAGCAACCGAAGAAGCGCTTCGTAGGACGAAGGACGGCCGCCGAGGCTGCGGTGAAGAATGGCGGGGCCAACGGGTCCATCGAGGACAGCAAGTCCATCCAAGGTGCGAATCTTCACTTCCCCCTCTCTCAGCTCAGCTCACTCATCTCACATCTCTCTGCAGTCGCCAAACCAAGACGAGGTCCACGTCTTCTGAACCAGGTGCCCCCCGAAATCCTCAACGACCCCGCGCTCAAGTCCGCCATCTCCATCCTCCCCTCCAACTACAGCTTCGAGATCCCCAAGACGATCCACCGCATCCGGACGTCGGGCGCCAAGAAGGTCGCGCTCCAGATGCCCGAGGGCCTCCTCCTCTTCGCGACCACCATCTCCGACATCCTCACCGAGTTCTGCCCGGGCATCGAGACGCTCATCATGGGCGACGTCACGTACGGCGCCTGCTGCATCGACGACTACACCGCGCGCGCCCTCGGCTGCGACCTGCTCGTGCACTACGCCCACAGCTGCCTCATCCCCGTCGACGTGACCAAGATCAAGACGCTCTACGTCTTCGTCGACATCAGCATCGACACCTCGCACCTGCTCGCCTCCCTCGAGCGCAACTTCGCCTCCGGCAAGACCATCGCCGTCGTCGGCACCATCCAGTTCAACGCCACCATCCACGGCGTCCGCGGCACCCTCGAGAAGGCCGGCTTCCGCGTCCTCGTCCCGCAGATCGCGCCCCTCAGCAAGGGCGAGATCCTCGGCTGCACCTCCCCGCGCCTCGACTCCGACGACCCGGACAACAAGGTCGACCTCATCCTCTACCTCGGCGACGGCCGCTTCCACCTCGAGAGCATCATGATCCACAACCCGCAGATCCCCGCGTACCGCTACGACCCGTACTCGCGCAAGCTGACCCGCGAGACGTACGGCCACGACGAGATGCAGGACCTGCGCCGCACCGCGATCCGCACCGCCAAGACGGCCAGGAAGTGGGGCCTGATCCTCGGGTCGCTCGGCCGCCAGGGCAACCCGAACACGATGGCGCTGATCGAGAAGAGGCTCAAGGAGCGCGGGATCCCGTGGGTGAATTTGCTGCTCAGCGAGATCTTCCCCGGCAAGCTGGCTATGATGGCGGACGTCGAGTGCTGGGTGCAGGTGGCGTGTCCGCGGCTGAGTATCGACTGGGGTTATGCGTTCCCGAGGCCGTTACTGACGCCGTACGAGGCGCTGGTTGCGCTCGAGGTGCGGGATGACTGGGGCAAAGGGGTCTATCCCATGGACTACTACGGCAAGGAGGGTCTGGGGCGGGTGAAGCCTGCGCCATTGGAAGCCAAAAGCTGACAGGTTTTGTTGGGTTTATATGGACATCAAAAGTTATGAAATATATGGGAGCGCAAAATGATACCTTTTTTCTGGCATACACACACTAAATCTTTCAAGCGTATTACCACTGGACTTTTGATATTGAGAAGAAGAGGTAAAGTCACCGTATGGGAAGGAGTTTGATCACCAGAAATTTCACGTCTACTAGACAGGGGGCATGCGTCATTTGTCCCATTAAATATTCAACGACTAGTAGCGCTAATTAATACTGCACCTGGTATCATTAATATCATTTGTTTCACCGTCACTCCTTTCCCACTTCCTCTCGCCCGCTATGCAGAGACGGTCGAGTTGA